ACCCGGTGATGCTGACGGTGGCTAGCGAGGACCAAAATTTGTATTCTTTTGATCTCAGAAAACTCAGCCAGCCCCGTACTGTACACAAAGACTTCGTTAACGCGGTGTACGCATGCATGCATGCATGCATGCATGCATGCATGCATGCGTGCATGCATGCATGCATGCATGCATGCGTGATAGACCCTAAACCCTAAATAATAAATAATAAATAATATATAATAAATAATAAATAAAGTGTAAACAATTAATTTTTGAGGGTTGCTGAGGAAATGGGATGATACTGGTGGTTTATGGACACTCTAAACCCTAAACCCTAAACCCTAAACCCTAAACCCTAAGCGTGTTTCAGTTTTCGTTAATACTCCGTAAATACTCTCAGGACCTAGGGTTTAGGGTTTAGGGTTTAGGGTTTGTGTGTTCCCCAAACCCTGAACCCCGATTCAGTTCCTTTCTTGCTTCGGGTTTACAGTTTATGTTTTTGAGTGTTTAGGGTTTATGTTTTTGAGGGTTTAGGGTTTTTGAGGGTTTAGGGTTTAGGGTTTATGTGTGTGTTTCAGTCTGGACGTGGATTACTCTCCAACAGGAAAGGAGTTTGTTGCTGCTTCTTTTGATGGAAGCATTCGCATATTTAAAACAGAAGAAGGAACAAGCAGAGATGTATATCATACCAGACGCATGCAAAGGTAAGACACATATATTTATGCTGCTGCTGTTGCTGCTGCTGCTGTTGGTGCTGTTGCTGGTGCTGGTGCTGTTGGTGCTGCTGGTGCTGCTGTTGCTGGTGGTGCTGGTGATGGTGCTGGTGCTGGTGCTGGTGTTGCTGGTGGTGCTGGTGCTGCTGCTGTTGTTGTTGTTGTTGCTGGTGGTGCTGTTGCTGCTGCTGCTGTTGCTGCTGCTGCTGCTGCTGCTGCTGCTGCTGTTTACCATGCTGCAGTTGCTGATAGAGCGTCTTACGTTGCCGTTTCTCTACATATATCTTAAAAATAAAACAAAAATAAATACCAATAATATGTACAAATAAATATTAATTATATATATATATATATATATATATATATATATATATATATATATATATATATATATATATATATATATAATTTTATATATATTTATATATGTATTTTTTTTTTTGTTTTTCAGTGTATTATGTTGCCGTTTCTCTACTGACGGCCGTTTTATATTGAGCGGTTCAGCAGACATGTGTAAATACTATATAAATAAACATTTATAAATAAATAAACACTAATATAAATATATTTATATATTCTTTTTGTGTATGTTTCGCAGTGTTTTATGCTGTCGTTTCTCTACTGACGGCCGCTTTATATTGAGCGGTTCCGCGGACATGTGTGTGCGTCTATGGAAGACAGACTCTGCTGCTCCTTTGGGGCCTCAGCCGTATAAACAGCGATTGGTTTTTAGTTATAGAAATAAATTAAGAGATAAGTATGCGCTGCTGCCCGAAATTAAACGCATTGAAAGGTAATTTATATATATACACTCTTTTCTTTTTTTTGGGGTTTATAAGGGTTTAGGGTTTAGGGTTTAGGGGTTAGGGGTTAGGGTTTAGGGTTTAGGGGGGGGAGGGGGTTGGGGTTAGGGTTTAGGGTTTAGGGTTTGAGAGGGAGGGAAAGGGGATTTGGGGTTTAGGGTTTTAGGGTTTTGGGATTGAGAGATGGGGGTTGGGGTTTAGGGTTTTGTGGTTGAGGTTTTGGGGTTGGTTATGAGGGTTTAGGGTTTAGGGTTTAGGGTTTAGGGTTTAGGGCTTTGTGTTGTGCGGGTAGACATCACCACGTGCCGAAGCTGATAAAGAAGACGCAGGAAAAGAAAAGGATTATGAAGGAGGCAGCGAAACGAAGGGTAAACCACAAACCCTAAACCCTAAACCCTAAACCCTAGCTCTAAACCCTAAACCCTAGCTCTAAACCCTAAACCCTAATTCTAAACCCTAGACAGCGTAAAAGACGATTCTCCTGGCAAACAAATCACCCAGGGGAGAGTCGGGTTCTTGAGGAGTTAGGGTTTAGGGTTTCGTAAGGGTTTAGGGTTTAGGGTTTAGGGTTTAGGGTTTGTTGTTTTTTTTATCAGGAGGAGAACCGTATTGCTCACTCTAAGCCAGGGAAGCACCCGCGTGTACCGGAGCGCAAGAAGGCCATATACAAAGAAATAGAATAAATATAATTAAAAAAAAAAACAAAAAAAAGAAAAAAAATAAAAAATAAAATAACACAAAACACAAAACAAACAAACACTCCAAGTAGGGTCAGCTGCCAGCAAGCTAGAAGTGCTTCTGCTGCTGCAGCTGCTGCTGCAGCTGCTGCTGCAGTTGCTGCTGCAGCTGCTGCTGCAGTTGCTGCTGCAGCTGCTGCTGCAGTTGCTGCTGCTGCTGCTGCTGCAGTTGCATCGAGAGGCTGCTGCTTC